GCGGGGTTGGGGATCCGTCCGGACAGCCTGGCCCCGGGCTTGGTCTGGCTGCCCGCTGCCGGGTCGCCTCACCTGCCGCAGGAGACCCTTGCACTTTGGGTGGCCCAGGACATGTGGTGGAGGAAGGGGGAATGGCTGTCCCCTCGCTCTTCCATTTGGAGGGGGCCCTGGAGAGAGTCGGCAGGCCGTGTGCTGAGCTTTCCCGGTGCTCCTCTTCTGATGAGGAGGAGGAGGAACGGCCCCGACGCCCAGCATTCCTTCCGGCAGAATGCCAGTGGGGAGGAGACTGGCAGCCGGGAGGGGCGTCCTCCGCCAGTGCTCCTGCTGGATGCTCGTTCTGTCCCCTGGAGCAGCTGAAGCCCACCCTGGGTCTGGGCCATGGGCACAGGAGAGTGCACGCAGAGCAGGGGGAGGCTGCCAGGAGGTGCAGACCAGAAAGGGGGTGGCCATCGCCCTGGGGGGTGCTGCCCACCATTGCAGAGCCGGTGAACAGCAGCAGCCTCCTCTGCACCGGTGGCCTCAGGGCAGGCAGGGGAAGATGCCCAGGGCGGGGAGGATGGGGCCGCCCTCCGTCTTGGGGGGGAGGGGAGACGCACAAGTTAGGTAGCTGTCTGCCTCCCCAGTCTGCAGTCGTGTGGGCTGGGCATCTTGTAGTTGGAGACCCAGCAGTGGTGGGCCTGGGCTTCTCCTCCTCCTCTCTGAAAGGGCAGCGGTGAGGCTGAGAACGGCTGACCTTGGGGGGCCAGTGCACAGCCTACAGCTGTTGTTCGCGGTCAGTAATCCTGCTTTGCTAGGACTGGCTCTTGATGGGTGCTTAGATGGGCTTTGCACTGGATGCTGCCCTGGGGGAATGGGGCGGGGGGGGGGCAGTTGCTGCTGCCGTGGAGCCCCCAGAGCAAGTATGGCTTATTGTGACCTCAGGCGGGGTTTCCAAAGGCCCGCCTGCCTTTGAAAAACATCCAGGGGCTTTCCTGCTTGCTTCCCATAAACTCATGCCCCACCGGGAAAGTTCCTGGAGGCATGGGGTGCTGCTTGCTGCCCTGCTGATATTTCCAGATTGGCCCAGCAGGTCAGGTGGCAGAACCCGAGTCTGCCCCGGTTGGGGGTGGGGGGCCAAAAGGCCTCCGATCGCCCCCCATGATGGAAGTTGGAGGAGGAGCAGTGTTGGGGGGTGCTCAGCAATTGTCTTTGTGGAACATTTTGGGGCCTGGGTAGCTTGAAATAACAATGGAGACCAAAATCTGACTGTTATCCTCTAGCTTCCCTTCCTATGGATTTTGTTTTTAGGAGTGTCACTAGGATGCGTTAACTTTGAAATTAAGCAGCACTGTGTTGCCTGAGAGCGGTAGGTCTTTATGGATTCTCTGTGGTGTTTTGGGGGCCCTGGGGTGTGGCAGTTCTGCCCTGGGTGCTTCTTGGAGGGAGGGAGCGAGTGCTCAGCCTGGGCTGCTGGACCACAGTCTGTCTTCTGTGGCAGCTGGGCAAAAGGAGGTCCGATGGGCGCTTGGTCCAGAGGACCGTCTGCGGCATGGGACATTAGAGCACAGAATGGGTGTGCAAGGGAAAAGTAATGGGACTGCTATAACTGCCACCAGTTTTCAGGTTAAAATTTGTCCTGTGATAAACCGAAGTTACTCATAAGGACTATTTATGTATTTATAATATTTGTAGCTCATTTTTAAGGGCAGGAGGTCTTCCAAAGCACTAATCTGACGCAGGCCCATATCAGTAACTAATAGACAAGAGAGAGAACATTTCTCCTGCATATGAATTGGGTTGGAGGCCAGGAAAAGGCCCACGCCCAGGGGACCCCGTGGCCCTTGATCCAGCCTGAGGGGACGTGGTGAAGGAGGCCTCTCAAACTGCCTCCAGAGGCAGCAGGCAAGGAGGGCCATCTGGTTGACTGAGCTCTCGGCCACATAAAGAAGGAAAGAGGAACTTCAGGTCTGACTGAGACGCACTATTTCTCTTGCCCGTCAGTGTGTTTCAGAGTGGCCTCCGCTGGCAGCCCCCAACTGCTAGGGGCTCAGTGTCCCCCGGCAGAGCTGGAGCTCTTGGCAGTTCTGTTGAGCGAGTCCGTTCAGGCGGCGTCTCCAGCGTGGGCCCTTCCCCTTCTTGCCTTCTTGGGTGGGTTAAGTCTTGTTCGCCTCTGACTGCTCAGAAATCACCTGTAGATACTTGTGGCAGTTTCCTGAGAAGCAGGGCATTCCTTCATCCCACTGTTTATGTACCACCTACTTCCTAAAACTCGTAGAGGTTTGTAATAAAAGTCAAAACATAAGAATAAAAAAGAGTGATTCTCAAACGTTGTCCTTATGAGAAACTTAGATAGAGGTCAGGAAGCTGCAGTACAGACAGAACATGGCGAAATGGACTGGCTCCAGGTTGGCAAAGGAGTGAGACAAGGCTCTGTGCTCTCCCCTTATTTATTCAACCTGTATGGTGAATATATATTAAGGGAAGCTGGGTTGGAAGTTATTGATGGTTTATTTAAGGCTGTCTTGATGTCTGAGCTGCCCTGGGCTTCTCCAGGTGGAAGAGCATCGTAATGATGACACCCAGCTTACCACTCACTGGGTCAAAGGGGAGCTGCCAGAGACGTGGTTTTCTTCTGGGTCCCTGCTCTGAGGCTTGCCGCGCCAGCTTGTGTTAGTGGGGTGCTCCTGCGACCCCCCTCTGCCCACAGAGGTACACCCGGGGGGGAGAAACCCAGATGGAGCACACCCACCTGTTCTGCCACCAGCCCCACGCTGAACCTCCGCCTCCACCTCAGCAGTGGCATCTCCTGGGGCACCCAGCAGGGCTTGCGGGAGAACAAAAGGCCGTCTCCGTTGGACTCGTTTCTGCCCTTGGACCGCGGCAGCCTTTGAGAGCAGCGTGGCTGTGCTGTTCCTGGGGGTGAGAAGGTCTGGCCTTGTGTTGTTCAGATGCTGCTTCTCCTGGTTTGCTCCCTAACCCTCTGGGTCCTCCAGGAAGGATGAGGAGGAGGCAGCGAGGAGTCCTGCCCACCTCGGTAGGACATCCCACCCCATGCCTTTAATTGGTGAGAGGACCAGCTAAGCTCCCTTCAGATGGACGGCCCTTTGCTTCCGAGCAGGAAGGCTGCTCCTCCCTGAGGCACGCAGGTGCGCCTCCTGAAGCTTCTTCTGGGATTTTGGGAGGGCAGGTGGTGCTCTGATCAGCAAGAAGAGTTCCCCCCGGGGCGTGCTCTGTTCCTGAGTGGCCTTCACTGCTGGTGGAGCAGGAGAGGAGAGACGTGCTCTGGACAGCACTAGCAGCCATGAACGTTGAGGGCCTGTGGTCACAGATTCAGCAGAAACGTGTTCTGATTCCTGCTGGGTACCACTTGCCCCACCATGAGGTGAGCTGGAGGGCCCTCCAGGAGGGGCGTGTGGCCAAGGGCAAGGAGTTGGTCAACAGAGAAGGGGATGCGTAGTTGGACATGCTGTGGGGCTTGCGCACCCAAGGGGTCTCATGTCTTGCTCCGTCTGGCGCCCTTCTTGGGAAGGGTCCCGTTTGCATTAGTGCCGGTTCTTGGGGGGCAGTGAGGGGGGCTGCCTAGCCTGATTCCTGGGCTCAGGTCAGCTTGGGGCAACCCCCCCTTCAGCATTACAGTTTGTGGGTTCTTTGAAATCGGCTGTGGTCCTCCCTCACTCCCTTCTTCCTCCTCCCAGAAGCTTTCTGAAAGTGCCAAGTGCAGCCCCCTCGTTGGTTGGGGCCATATCCCGATTCAAGCAGAGGCTGGACAGCCATGCTGGGGGGGGGGATTCCTGTGCTAAGGAGGGGCTTGAAGTCTCAGTGGCCTTTCCTGCTCTGAGGTCACAGGAAAGAGAAGACGTGAACGATCGGGGTGGGGGGCACAGAGGAAAGAGGGATGGAGCTCCCAGAAACGGGGGGACTTGTAGGGAGTCCTTCAGGAGGGAAAAGGCCTTCAGGGGCTAACTCCTTGGGACAGCTGGGCCCATGGTAGGCAGACAACACTGGAGAGGTGGGAGAAGCAGATCCATTTGGGGGTGCAGAAGGGCCCACATGGGCCCCTCCTTGCAGTGGGGGCTAGCCTGAAGAGGAGGAACTTTGCTCTGCATGGCTGGCCCATCCCATCCGAGCACCAAGGCCAAGCAATTGGGCCGGGGCTCCTGGGCCTCAGCTGGGCTGTTCTGTGCCCCTGCAGGCAGTTGAGGGTGACGGTGTCCGGTTGGCAGTGATGGAGAACGCCCTGACAGCCCGGGATCGGGTGGGAGTGCAGGACTTTGTCCTGCTGGAAAACTTCACCAGCGAAGCAGCTTTCATTGAAAACCTGCGGAGGCGGTTCAAGGAGAACCTCATCTACGTGAGTGCGGGTGTCTGGCAGCCGTCCTGCCTGGCCTGGTGGGTCGGGGGCTCCCTCCTGGGGCTCTGGCAGCCCCAGAATCAAGACTCTCCTTTGGGTGACTTGGGTGGTCCCCTCCCAGTTGGGGCATAGAGTGAGAGATGCCCAGCTCCAGCAAGCCCCTTCTGCTCAGGCTGGGTGCTCTGAGGGGGCCAGATAGATGCTGAGGCTGGTTGGTGCTGGGGGCCAGGAGCCCAGGGGGTCTTCCTGAGAAAAGGTTCATCCACTGCAAGACGGTTGCTGGAGGAGGACTGAAATATCCTTGCGGCCCAGGAAAAGGCTTTGGTCCCTGGGTCAAAGGGGTGTGTGCTGCGAACCCTTTTGAAAGGGGCCCTGCTGAGCCAGGCCACCTGCCCCCTCCCTCCTGACCCTTCCTGGGCTGGCTTCCTCCTCAGACCTACATCGGCTCAGTTCTGGTCTCGGTGAACCCGTACAAGGACTTGGAGATCTACAGCAAGCAGCACATGGACCGCTACCGTGGTGTCAGCTTCTATGAAGTCTCCCCTCACCTGTGGGTACCTGAGCAGGCGTGATGCTGTCCGCCCCCATCCCTTTGCTCCTCTGCTGCATGCCCAGCGCCAGCTAATGGCATGAAAGAGAGAGCAGGGAGCTTCTCCGCTCCTTTGCCTAGCAGCTCAGCAGGAACGACCGGGGGGGGCACGTCCTCCACTCGGAAAGAAGGACGGTGCGCAGCCCCTGGCAGAGAGAGAGAGAGCGCAGAGCCCACAGCTGTGGGGGTGGGGGGCAAAGCTCTGGCAGCGCTCTCCTTCCTGCTGCTGCAGGGTTGGTCCCCCTGGGGCTTGGTGGCAGCCAGATCCTCTGGGCTGCTGCCCCCCCACACCGCCCCTTTGTGGCCGGAAAGATCTCCAAGCCCCTGGTCCTGGGCAGCTGGAGGAGGAGAGAGCATTCCTCCCGCCGCTCTATGAAAATGCCAAGTCCATCCCATAATGGTAGCGTGCGATTCCGGGTGGTTCCACTGTGAGCAAGGCGGCCCTGCTGTGTTTTTCCCACAAGAAGCGGCAGAGAATGGCGCCGTCCTAGAGACGGGCTCATTAACTGCCGCCGTAGCCTCCCTGCTGGGGGAGAGGTGCAGTGGCAGAGCAGGCGGCCTGTTGCCCTTCCCTTGCAGCTACGCCATCGCGGACAACGCCTACCGCTCGCTGCGGACTGAGCGGAAGGACCAGTGCATCCTCATCTCAGGCGAGAGCGGGGCGGGCAAGACGGAAGCCACCAAGAAGATCTTGCAGTACTACGCCGTCACGTGCCCGGCGAGCGAGCAGGTGGAGACCGTGAAGGACAGGCTGCTGCAGTCCAACCCAGTCCTTGAGGTAAGCCTCATGGCTCGGCGGGGGCTGGCCTTGCTTTGGGATCTGCTAGGGAGCGCTGCCAGCCTGAGTCCAGGCCCTCCAGACTCTTTCCCCATGCTCGGCGGCTTGCTTGTGGCAGTTGCTCACAGCCGCCACGCAGCTAGAGAAACCGCTTTATTGCAGACAGACCCACGGCAGACGCGTCCGTCCGTTCCTTCACGTTTAGGACGCAAACGTTGGCCTTAGAGCGCGCTCTCCTTGGAGAGCTTTGGGGTCGGCGGAAGCGTGGCCACTCTCTTCCTGGGATGCCTGCTCGCTGTTGATAGCGGTCTGCCTCTCCTCTTCCCCTCTCTGGCCACAGTCCCCGGGTGTCCACACCTTGCTCCTTCTCCAGGGAGCTGGAGGCAGCGTGTAGTGGGGGGGGGGCCTTCTGGCAGAGAGGGCCTGGGCTCTGACGGAGAAGCAGAGGCCCAGTTGGGCTGGCAAGATCCCCAGCTGGATTTCTGCTTTTATGCCATTACGGTTCTGTTTCCTGATCAGGCCTTTGGAAATGCAAAGACCCTGCGCAATGACAACTCCAGCCGGTTTGGGAAATACATGGACGTCCAGTTTGATTACAAGGTGTGTGAGTGGATGAGGGTGGTGGGCTGACAGCTGGAAAGCGAGGAGGTCTGTGGAAGAAATCCTGGCTTTGCTCTGGGGGCTCATGTGCCCACCCCCTCCGATTCCCAAGGAAGCCATCGATTCCCAGGTGGGCTCCCTGCCTGACCCCCCACAAGGAGACCAGGCTGTCTGCGTGGCGCGTATGCCTGGAGCCTCCTTCCCTGTGGCCATCTTCGCAAGCAGCACCATCCATGCCTTCTCTTGTGTGGTCCTAGGGGGCTCCCATTGGGGGTCACATCCTGAACTACCTCCTAGAGAAGTCACGGGTGGTGCATCAGAATCACGGCGAGAGGAACTTCCATATATTCTACCAGCTCTTAGAGGGAGGGGAGGAAGATCTGCTCAGGAGGCTGGGGCTAGAGAAGAGCCCCCACCAGTACCAGTATCTTGTCAAGGTAAAGGGAGCAGGTTGGCGTGCCCCCTCCCCCTGCAGCTGGGTCCCCTAGCACAGCTGGGGCCCTGACAGTGAGGCCGCTCCTGCCTAGCTGTTCTGCAGCTTCAGCCATCTCGGCCACTCTCCTTTAAGGGGGCTGACGGCTGCCACAGAGTGCACGCGTGGGAGTGTGTGTCTGTGTGCCTCCTGCTGCCGCCTGGGTGTCACCCAGTTTCCCAAGCTGTGTGTCAGGGATGGGGGTGGAGAGCAGGAGGCTGTTCTGCAGGAGCCTGATCTGACACCTTTCCAGGGCCAGTGCGCAAAGGTCAGCTCCATCAACGATAAGAGTGACTGGAAGGTGGTGCGCAGGGCGTTGTCAGTCATTAACTTCAGCGACAGTGAAGTAGAGGTAAAAAGCGCAGCCTTCTCTCCTTCGGGCGGGAAAGCCCTTTCCTAGGGACACCCCCTGCCCCACAGCTAGATTCACGAAGCTTTTCCTTTGCGCCAGGATCTGCTGAGTATCATTGCAAGCGTGCTGCACTTGGGGAATGTGCAATTTACAACCGACGAACATGGCAGTGCGCAAGTGACCACGGAAAACCAGATCAAATACTTGGCCAGGGTGAGTCATGGGATCTGTCGGTCTCCCAAAGGCCCTTCCTGCCCTCCGCTTTAGACACGCTGAAAGGACAAGTGGAAGCAAAGTGTGCCAACTGCCTTCAGAAACTGTTTCGAATATACAATACTTGGAAGTTTAATCGCTCAGAAATCTACTCTGTTTACTGAGACCATCCCTGGCTCAGCTGAGGTTGGCTTAGGAGGTGGGTGCAAGTAGTTTGCGATCAAACAGGGTGCTGCCTTCCGTCTGTTCATCCCATCATCTGCAGAGAGCTGGTTTTGTCTTTGAGGGGGTCTGGCTGAGCCAAGCCAGGTGGCAGGAAAACGAATGGGCGGCCAGGTCCAGGTGGCAGGGGGAGGAGCCTGGCCACCGACACCTCACTTCTTGCTGCCTTACCTTCTCTACCCAAATCTCAGCCCTGCGACCCGTGTAGGAGGGGCTGGCTGGTGGCCTCACACTTCCTTTTTTCCTTGGTTTGTAGCTCCTGGGACTCGAAAACTCTGTTCTGCAGGAAGCGCTGACCCACAAGAAGATCACTGCAAAGGGAGAGCAGGTGAGAGGAGAGTTGTGAGCAGAGCAAGATGGGGCGCGGTCTGGTGGCTGTGTCCAGCCTGATCCCTCACCAAGAGCCATTGGGATCCCGGGGGACTGGACCTGGCCCCTTCCTTGTAGCGGGAGCTCAGCGTGGCCTCAGTCGGAGACCAGTGGCTTCCCTTTCCTCCCTCGCAGCTGATCAGCCCGCTCAGCTTGGAACAGGCCGCCTATGCGCGAGATGCTCTGGCCAAAGCAGTGTACGGGCGCACCTTCTCCTGGCTCGTGAATAAGATTAACAAGTCCCTCGCCTACAAGGTGAGTTCGTCTCCGGTGCCCCGGGCGTCGGCTGTTGCAGAAGACTTGGGGAGGCCTAAATAGTGCCTGCAGGTTTTCCACGAGGGAGCACTTTTCTTGGGGCGCAGCCCCATAGCCAGAGGTCACTTGCTTTCTGCTCTGATCTCAGAGAGGAAAGGCGAAATTCATGCTTCCTACTGGCTCCCCTTTTTGGGGGGAAGGGGGGTTCAGTGGTTTCAAGCAGTTTCAGGTGGGCTGGAGCCCACAAAGGGATTTCTTAGGCACCGCGTGCTCTGTAGGACACACCGCCTCACAACGGCCAGCTTGTCTGTTTCCCTTGGCAGTTCCCAGCTCGCATGTCTCCCTGGGGGACAGGGCCTGTCCTTGACAAAACAGAAATACCTGATATTTTTGTTTTGCCTAGCTGCAGATGCGCCAGAAAGAATTATACAGAAGCCAGTCAGGAAGACTTCAGCATTGTTTTTGCTGCCCAGTGCTTCTGAATGTTTCTGCCTGGTAGGCAAGTCACGTTTAGCAAATTTTATACAGGCCTCATTTGCTGTGGCACTTTGCTGTTGCTAGTTCTTCCCTCTCTTTGCCCTGTTTTCATATATTTTAATGGGAAGATGTATTTTTTTAATTCAGAGGCCACCCGCTTCTAAGTCATTCTGGG